CAGCCCTCCTGCCCTCCAGCCCTCCACAGGCCCAGCCCTCCAGCCCTTCAGCCCTCCTGCCCTCCAGCCCTCCACAGGCCCAGCCCTCCAGCCCTCCTGCCCTCCTGCTCTCCAGAGCTCCAGCCCTCCACACGTCCAGCTCAGAGAGCACCTCGCACCTCCTTGCCTTTCCTCGTCCTGACCCAGAGCAGGACAAGAATTGCTGAATTAACAGCTCTTCTTACATAGTCCTAGTTAAGCTGCTCCTCACCTTTTTCTATGGCTCAGCCGTAGGATGGGTAGGGAGGAAGTTTAGAGTGCTTAACCTCTGCTGAACATACTCATACCTTCCCGTGACAGGATAAAGCAAATCGTGATTAAATAGAAACCAGAACCAGAGCTACCTCTCAGTAGTGTTTCCTCAAGCACAACGCTCTCAGGCACTCGAGACCCGCTTTAGAGGAGGGTCTCTCATTTCTTGAGCAACATCGAGTTTCAGAAGCTACTGTCTTTTGGACTCTTCTAGTTTCCTGATAAATCTATCCCCCACCCCGGCCACCCCCCACCATTTCACACTGTGCTTACATAACAAAGACTTCTGAGAAGCCAAATTCTGTCCAGTTATTATCGAGAGAGATTGTCGACTAAAGAAAAACCTAGAACTGAGGTGGGGGAGGAGAGTTGGTTCCAGATCTTGAGAAAAGAGTTCTTTTCTGGAAAATGATCTTTGAAATGAAATGGCTGATAGTAAACTGCTTTTCTGAAGTTAAAGACACGACAGTAACGCCTCTGTCCTGCTCTTCTGTGGCTGACATGTTATTCATAGAACTTTAACGTTTCTGCTTCTGAGCTTGGCGGTGAGCGCTGCACCGGTGGTAAATGTTGGCTGCAGCTTTTTGTGCTCATATTCTGATTGCCAGTGTAATAACTTCACAAAGTAAATTTTCCAAAAAGAATTTTGTGTACGATAATGCCTCTTGTCTGTTTGGGAGAAAAAAAAAATCCATCTTTTCAATCATGGAATTGATAAATGAAAAATAAAGTTCTTTCTTAATCTTTTCTGGGAAGCTGTCTTTTATTGCAAACCTTTGAAATGTGTTTGTCCTGCACGCAAGGCCTTGGCCTCTTTGTAAACTCTGTAGCTAGTTGCTAAGGAGTCCGGTCCTGCTCATGGTGACGCCGTGTGTGCAGAAGAGAACCGCCCCCTGGGACTTTCACGGGTGTGTATGGCCTTTTGGAAGCCTGTCCCGGGAAGCACTTCTGTGTGGGTTCAAACCGCCAACTTACGGCTAGTAATGGAGCACACAGTCCTTCAGTGATTTTGACCCTTCTGAATGTATTAGTATTCATAACTTTCTTTTGTCAGTTATACACACAATACTTGTACCCTCTAAGGGAGAGGATTTGACTGGTAACTTGGAGGAGGGGATGTCTTTGAGCATGCAATCCCAGTGTTTGGGAGACGCTTAAAGTCTTCTCATCAACATCTGAAGGTGTACATAATATTTTATTTACTGTTTTTCCCCTTGGATGGATTGTTTGTCTCACCAGGCAGTCGACAGACCTTTTGACCTCACTTCTGTTAAAGTAATCTTTGTCATTGATAACATTCACGCAAGACTCAGTGGACACGAGTCAGCAAGTGCTCGGCTCTGCTGGAGGGAGGAATGGCATGTCCTTTGCTAATCTAGGATCCGTGCACACTGTTGAGCTCATTCATCACCTTGTATGTGGTGTGTTTTTGTTTTGTTTTACTTTTTAATGGAACAAAAGAGGCTTTGATCTTAGCATGATGTCTCCCTAAGGACTGGTTCCTCCCCAAAATATGCCAAGGTGAGTGAGATGACGTTTCACCGTCCTTACCTCTAAGGAGCACTCCGTTTGCATTATTCTTTTTTTAAAAAATATTTTAATTAATTTGTGTATGTACTGTCAAATTGGATCTGACTGGTACAGGAGGCGATTGTCCCTCCTTCTCCACCAGAGCATCTGGTGGATTCAGACCGCTCACCTCTGGGATTGCAGTGCAGCTTCTTGCCACTAGGCCACCAGAGCTTGCCTGCATTTTCTTTTGAGTTAGATTTATTTTTTTGGAAGTCGATGGTATGTTCTATACTCTTCACCAGCATCACTATTTAAAGACTTTGATTCTTCTGTCTTCCTTATTCATTACCCAAACTCTCAGATGCATATGAAGCAATTGAATATAGCAAAGCTTCGATAAGGTGCACCTTAGTCTTTAAACTGATATCTTTACTCTTGAGAACTTCGGAGAGGTCCTTGATAACAAATTTCCCTCATGCAACATGTCTTGATTTTTTTTTTTTTGTCTGCTGCTACCAAGAGTGTTGATGATCAATCCAACTAAAATGCAATCCTTGGCAACTTCAGTCCGATACCCCTGTACCATGATGTTGCCTGTTGGTCCAGCTGTGAGGGTTTTTGTTTTCTTAGCATTGAAGTATATCCCATATTGAAGGTTACAGTCTTTGATCTTTTGCAGTAAGTGCTTCAAGTTGTCTTCACTTTCTGCAAGTTGATATCATTGCTCATTGCTGATGTCAGATCTTAGCCAAAAGCAGAGAATTTTTTTTAAAAAAGTTTACTTGTGTTTCATTTTTTTACAAGAGGTATAGAATTGATGTCATTTAACCTCATTTTTAACTGCCCAGAAATTGTGAGTCACAGAGTCCAATAAATTTACAAGTCAACCATATAGCTTTTTCTGACTTGGAATGTCTGATTGGACTATGCATATCTCTAGGCTGCTACTCCTTAATAGAAGTTCCTTATTCCACTCACACTTACTGTATAATTATGACTGTTTCATCCTAGGAGAAATCACTCCAGGCCTTGTAAGCCCTTTGGTTGGTCATTTGTTGCATATGTGTTTGTGTTAAGAACTATGCTTAGGGGAAATCTTCAGGTACTGAATAATAAGCTCCGACTGGGTTAGATCTCAATGGCTAAATGAAACAAAACAGTTCTACAATATGACAACTCCATATCTGTGGCTGTAATAAATAGTGTTAGGCCCAGGTCCAATTAAACACACACACACACAGTTATTGGCCTTCTTGGATCATATTAAGGAGCCCTGGTTGTGCTCCTACTAATTGAAAGGTCATTGGTTTGAACCCACCAGCCACTTCCTGGGAAAAGGATGAGGCTTCTCCTTTCATAAAGATTTACAGCCCCAGAAATGCCTGGAGGGGTTGCCTGAGCAGGAACTGATTTAATGGCAATGGGTTTGACCAAACAGCACAGTAAACATATTACAAAAGAAAAAAAACTTTAATAGGACATTTTACACTTGAAATGACTTTTTATCTTATAGACCACATACAAATGTTTTTAGACATTGAAAAGTGCTTAAAAAAACCCAAGTGTTCCCAGCCTCCCGCCCCTTGCCGTTCCCTGAAGTTAAGGGCAACATCGCCAGCTGAACTCAACTCTTTCAAACAGTATCCATTCTTTATGCCTTATCTCCCTGTACATCTCTCTTGCCCATTGCCCATCTTTTCTATTTGCCGCCGTCTAGCTCAGTATAACTTACCTAAAACTTCTAGCACGGACCAGTGGATACAGATCATAGCTACATGCAAACATCAACTTCCTAAGCAAGTGGAAAGAAGATTTGAAGTGAGAGTAACAAGAAGCCCTGTCACCTCCGACAGGGGAAGTGAGTTTGAGTTTCCCAACTTTTTCAATCCCAAGAATGACTTAGCCAACTCTTTCTTGTGACTGGAGAATATAGACAGACCTGAGGCAGGGACACAGGAAGCATACACAACCTTGCATTAAGCAGACACCCCTATTAAATATCACCTCTAGGAAGACACCCACTTCCTGTTTCTGGGCTCTTTTTTTTTTTTTTTACAAAGCATGAAGACTCTTCAGCCAACTTAGGTAACTGGCTTTCCCAGGGTGGGGCTGGAGTCGAGATTTTAGGAAGCCAAGAAGCCCAGATCTAGATAGCAGAGAAATGAGTCTCACCCAATAAAACACTGCACCTACTCTTATTAAAGTTCCCTCAGGGAAGCAGTTTCAAATTGTATGTCTTTGACCAATATGTATATATAGTTACAGAGTAAAACAAGTGTTGTGAGTTGCCTTTGTGACTGTGCTTTCTCTGTGGGAAGCTGACTGCCTTCAGCTCTCACCCTCTGGAGAGACTGTGACAGGGGCACCATAAGCCAGTACAAGAATGGTTCCCGGGTGGGTGGAGGGCTGTTTGGCCAAGGTAGCTCATGACTTGGGGGCGATACTTCTCCTTCTGCGACCCACATAGACTTGGTCACCTGAAAGTAAGAAGTTGAGTAGGAAGTTGAAAAGCTATCTTGTGGCCAGGGGAGCTCAGGCAATGATGGCAAGTGTGTCAAGGGCAAAGACACCCTTGGAGCACTTGGTTAAAGTTGCTGACCCTTTCATCACTAGCTGGGTCTCTTTCTCCTGC